ATGTATAGTGGCTGCTTATTATTGCATGCTGGTTTCAGTGCCCAAGATAAACATATGTCAGTATAAAGATAAACATATGCCAGTATATTGGGAGCGCGCGCCACTGCGGGAAATATTTGATTTTCAGCAAATTCACTCAGTGCTAATAAGGTGCAAAAAAAGTGCAAAAGAGGATGAAATCAAGGGCAAAGATAGTAAATACTGCATTTGCCCTCAATTATGCAACTCCATGTAAACTGGTATGTAAATGCGATATTTACTACCTTTGTCTTTGATTTCCTCCTCTTTTGCACTTTTTTGCACCATATTTGCCCCGAGCAAATTTGTGTAATGTAATTTTACGCGATAAAAACTAAATTGCCAGACAAAAGAGAATAAAAGATCTTACACAGACCAAACATCGGCTATAGTCTGGGCTGCTATATGTTTGTTTGCCAAAGCAGAGAAACGAAGTAACTTGTTACAGCTGCCTATTGTTGCTTAGCCTAAGTGAGGAGCTAAAAGCGAGCTTAAAAGTAACGAAAAGTTATACACATCAGAGCTTGAAGCAAATTCAATTTTGATCCAACACCTATAATTCTAAGCAATCGGGAGCTTAACTCCCAGACTATTTTATGTGGCATACTGTACAGCCAAAAAAAATCATTGAAATTATTTTTCGTTATACCTTCACAGCTTCCAGGGTGATAAATCAGATTATTTTCAAGTCCTCTGCAATAGCTTAACTTATGCCAGCATCGGCTGTCGTAAGTTGTTCCGTTTGCAGTGCACACCGGGTCTTCATATGAAGGGCAATGGTCATCGCACTCACACCGAGCGTCATGCGCACTGTAGGTCCTGCAGACTCCAAACCGTGGGCAATGCACATTAAGGCAAGGGTTAAGGTCTGTACCAAAAAAAAAAAAACATAATATTGAGTTGTTATCCATTTGGAAAAAAAATAATTAATGTCTAATATATTTTTCATATTTCAATTAAAACTAAGTTACTGTTCAGTAGTAGTAACATGTTTGCTTGTAGGTACCTTAACTAATGTTTTTTTTTTTCATCCTTAGTAGACCTCATTAACGATACCCGCCATCTCTGCACGCGCTTAAGGACTGATGGAATAAATTAAATCAATGTTACGTGGTGTCTTAGGGGGCAAGCAAGAGATAAAATCAGTAAATACAAGAATGCAGTCGAGTTTGTTTTATCTACACAATAGAAAATTAAGACGTTTTGACCTTAGAAACGAAAATTGCAAAATATGGGTGGAAGTGATTTTGAATACAGTACGCGACAGTAGAAATCTTCACAGCAAGGAATTGTGATGTAAAACTTGTCAAAGTCTACATTTTGCATTTTGCATGACTAAAATCGTCGTCTTATTTTTGAGGGAATAAACAAACCCGACCGCGATTACTCGATTACTAGTATTGGCAATTTTATTACTTGTGTGCCCTCTAAATTGCTCTTATCCCATCAATGATCAATCTTAAAGTTCGTGCAAAGATAGAGTGTAACATGAATAAGGTATATCAGTGTTTGTACTCCAGCGTTTCTTTAATTATATCATGAAATGTATTCCTACATATAAGAACTTCTAAAAGATATCAATAAAAATAATAGTAATAATGATAATAAAAATAACAATAGTTCTTACTAGAAATAGTGATCATTACAATAGGAAAATTATAAACAACCTCCAGTAACAGCGTAGCTGACAATCAAGGGATCATGACTCGATCCTAATCCACTGAGGTCTTTAACGCAGACCTTCATAGATTCTAATCCAACTTCCTACAGCAAAATGTGATAGCACTCATCAGTTACTAGAAAATCCATAATTTCTTCTTGATTTCTACGACGATACCTTTAATTCACGAAATTCATGGATCAGATCCAAATTATTGTTTTCTTATGGCTTCTTCACAGTTTTCACAGTCCTTTTACAAATTTACTAGAATAAACGGATTTCTTCTCTACAATGATTGAACAAGAGATATGAGCTTTTGGGACTCAAAGGTGTCGTGAGAGTTCAAGCAAACAATTGAATAGAATAATGTAGCAAAGCACTGAAAAAATCCCTGTTCATTATCATTAACCTCAAGTGACCATCAAGAAAAAAACCCAGTGGGGAAAACCCCGTTTCATGACGCAATTACTGGCTTTTCCGTGAAAAGACGTCTGAGGAACGAGCGCAGAAATTGCGTACTGATGATGTGTCACTACGCAGATCTGGGCATGCAGTGCTTTTGATTGGTTAAAGAAAATTTATTTTGCAGCATGACCAATCAGAAGCACTATCTTGATCTGGGAATTACACGTCATCAGTATGGAATTTCTGCGCTCTTCCACAGACGTCTTTTCACGGGAAAGCCAGTAACTACGTCGTGAAACGGGGTTTTCCTCATTTTGTGGGAAAACTAGTGGTGGCGTGGCGCGAAATTTCGGGCGGGCTGTTTTCTCAGGTTAGAATAAAAAGGCAAACTTACCTCTAGCCAGGCTGATATTATATTATTTTCTGGAGGACGACTTCCCTTGACCTTAAGATTATACTCATGATTTACCGAAAGAATCACAACTGGCGATTTGTAAAAGGTCGTATATTTTTGCCCATCTTCTGTAAAGTCCCCACTTCTAATATTCGCCCACTGTCTACAACGCGAAATTGAAGAGATTCGAAATAATATATAGATTTAGCCAGGGCTAAAAGCGAAGCTTCCATTAATAAATTTATATTTTTAAACCAAACAATAAATTTGTAATCCATAAATCAGTTAACTTAAGGGCACATTCATGTGACTTTTGAGGGAAAGGATAAGTTATTTTAGAGTGAAACATCTTACATCGAGTTGATAGCCTAAATATATGTACACCCAAAAAACAGCAAACATCTTCGATCACATTCAATAGCCATAATGGCTCTTTATCACAGTAGATTAGGCCTCGAAAACAAATTCTTGGAAAACAAATCAAGCCGAATTTTTATGCGTTCGACAGGTTTACTTTACAGATTCTGGCCAACAAATCTGAGGGTGTGTAAACCAACCTTTATACTTTTTATACATCACATCTGAGGTGAAACAGTACTATTTATCATACAGACCTCGGACAGAATACGGTATCTCACAATTTTTCAAGACAAATTGCACTCAGTCAATGTTTAGGACGATCAATCGTGGGCTTTTAGCGAAACCGTTCAAAAAATTTTCAATATCACCCATACGGACAGCCGGTTCTCATTTCTAGTGGGAGCTGTCAGTGTGTGGTCGAGTGTTTGAATGAACTTTAACAGAGATACGCTTCAACACAATCCCGAATTTATTATCATTATTTTTTTGTTATTTAATGGTTTCAGTTATAACGATGTGTAATCTTATAAAGCGTTTGATACGCGCGACATTTTTAAGTACTCCTTCAAGCGATGTTGATGAACAATGAAAACAAACGCCGCGGACAAGCGATTAAAATTGCAAGAGAGACTACTAACAATCAATAAAAGAAATATAATTCGGTAAAACATTTACAGAGACAAAAATTTTCATTCACGAAGACAAGTATTAAAATGTCTCTAAAAATCCTGAGTCTTTAAGCTTAAAGCTTAAGCTTAAGTTTATTTTGTTTTACTTACAGCCGGCCTCCCGGTGATTGCCTTTTTCAAAGATGAACTCCTCGAAGCAAGAAAATCGCTCAAAGTTTTCTTTCTACAGCCAAATTTATAACTAAATATTCTTCGGAACGTTTTCTTTCTATTTGCCGTGAGAAAATATATCTGAAGGCCTTTTAAAGTTCTGTAAGCTTACATGAAACCTGACTAGGTCAGATCATTGACTCAAATCTTACAAACGTTACAAACGTTACAAACTTGCCGCATAAAGTGTGCTCGACTTCATAAAATTAGATATAACAAAAACAAACATCAAATGCAATAATTACTCAGGCTTACCATTCGAGATTCAGTTCCTGAAAGATATCAAGGAAGGCCACAGTTGCTTGAGAATTTTAAACCCTCTTACGCATAAAGCAAGGTGAAAAACGAAAACGATGCCATCCGAAATCGGAATACCCAATTTTGACAAGCAACGCATTTCTCTACCAAAAACCCAATAAACAAACCAGCGATGGATAACAGAAGACTCCTGATAGCAGCAGTACATCCAGTGGAAAAAGACAGTTAAAAACATCACAAGTTGACACAAAACTCTGTCACCTTCAGCTGTCAAAGTAAACAACTTTCAAGACGCTGCATAAATTTCCGCATGAACTCACCTGTCAAATTTTGACCAATCAGAGTACAAAAATTGGACGTAGAGCGTGATCAACGCGTGACTATGGTAAGAAAAGGTCTTCTCCAACTGTATTATTAAAAAACTGGCTGAGTTTTCGCGTCCGAGGTCAGTTTGAAATCAAAATCTTGACAGTGAGGGGCCATAGTGACATAAACACAATATATTTCATGTGAATCATTGGAAAAAATAGACTTCAGCCCGCGATCATTTGAAACTGGTAATTTGTCAGCGGATAACTTCAAAAAATTACTCGACCTCGATGGGTCAACATTTGAGCCCGCGAAACGGTCAGGTGAAACTGGTCAGCGGATATCCTGTTTTGACAGCTGTCAATTGATCACAACATTGATGTGCAATTAGTTTTCTCTTGGCTCCCAAACTAGCTAGAAAGTGTGAGAGTAAACATTGGTTTCCCTGTGGTGCGGACGGACGGTCGGGCGTACGGTCACGTGATTACCAAATTTTCTCGGATGGGTAGATTACCACATTTCCTTAGCTATGGGGCTCCGTCCACGCGCGCGGGTGGAGCTCCGCTATAAAATTCTCGCAAAGTCACGAAATTTAAGAATCGCGAAATATGTGCACATCAAAATCGCGCGTTAAACATGTCGCGCTCATCTGGGAATTGCCATTTTGGAAACAATGTCGATTACCATGGCCTGGTAAGCTTGGGTTTACTGTATTTTAAGTTTTCTTTAGTTTGAACTTAACCACTAAAAAATCAGTGTTCTTTGGCTTGCTAAATGTTCTTGTTAGAACTAAAGTTTTCACCTGACAGAAGCCGTAGTTGTTTTTGGCCGATGGATTTCCACTGCTTGGAAAGATTTCTTCCCCAGTTATTGTGAAATTAAGTTGACTCCCATTTCCAGTGAATGCAAACCAGTCCTGCGGACAAGAAAATAATGTTTAATTTGCTACCCTTTTCTTTACAAGACGAGTTGCGTCAGGTTTCGAACCACATTTCCTTTAACAAGAAATGACTGCATGAGACATGTGAGACACGACACTGACCTTAATTGCGTCAAAAACGTTCTGGGTAATTGGGTTTCCGGGCGGCCGAAGTGTGGCAAAGTCAAGTTTGTTTGTTTGTTTGTTTTCATCAATACTATAGTTTACTCGGACATTTTTCTTCACTTACCACAACTGCATCTTGGTGTTTTCCATCAAAGGGCAAGAATTCCCTTAAGCACACTTCAAATCCTCCAGAATTGACGTTCTCTAACCATAAGTACATAGCATCATTTGGCTTAGTACTGCGAGTGTACTTAACAGAGACAAATACACGAGGCTTGGAAGCAAAGCTCTGCAAAAAAATGTTAGATATATGAAAAACTATTGACTGAAAAATCAACAAGCTTCTCGAAAGATAAATCAGGAGGAACGTATCCATGAAGTACTTAGCGGCACTTAGATGAAATTAAGGATTTATCAAAGGCTAAGGGGAGCAGATTAATCAAATCTACTTGTCTATTCACATTAACTTACTTTTCTACCCCTCTTTCACCTCTTTCTACGAAGTGTTGAAAAGGTTGGTGAATGCATCTTATTTGGCCTATTACTTCAATAAAGTTACAAACAACAATGGTTCTTTTCGGCCAACTTTGTTAAGTTTAATGCTAAAAATTTGATATCATTAAATGAATAGACTTCTATTTTCCAAATTCCCTTTAACACATCAACACATTCAAAACGGTCACGCATTATTCAATCACTACCTCCAAAGTAAAACGTGAAAATGGCTTATCTAAAGGCGATGGAAGGAAAAGTTTGAAACTTAAAGCCCGAGAGAAAGCTTAAAAAGACTTTTAGCAGTGGACTCTGCTATGAAGAGCAAATTCCGGATATTAATTAGTGATCACTTGTTTTAGAACTACTTTCTGATACTATTTCATTTGTTTCTACTATTTTATACGTTTTACACCTTTGTAACAAAATTATATACTGGTTATCAATTATTGTTATCTAACCTGAGAAAAGGCCACCTTCTCACACTTAGTTTCTGTTGTCCATATTCCGCTAAAAGTAACGCTTCCATGCGTTAACATAGGTTTGTCCTGAAACGCTACCCAGTTGATAATTCCAGTGTCGTTTGTAGAACCTGTTGCACGCGAGCATAACTGAAATCCAGCTGTACTAATGGACTCTGCCCACACGGCGGAAGGCGAATGAACAACTGAAGACTGATCTTCATGGCTTAATGACACAAAAACTCGAACCTGAAATGCGTTAGGTAAAGACATGCATCAATGAAAATTTATCAGGTGACAAGTCCACCCTAGACTATGAGCAGTCTCTCTTTTTTTCCTAATCCGTCGAGCGAAACGCGCGAGACACGCGTGGCCTTGCGGATGACTGAAGGCGCGAGAATGCCTCCCTTGTTTCTCGCGTCTGCTCGACGCTTGCGCACGCGTTCACTCCACACACTAAATCTGAAGAAAAAGAGAGTCTAGCTAATCGACCCCAATCGCCCACCCCGCAGTTTCAGTTTCACATTTTACCCCCCAATTCCTATTTCATGGAATAGAGACCTTCTATATTTATCGTCAAAATCTTCCGGCTTTTTGTATTTGTTTTGTTTTGTTTTGTTTGGTTCAAAAACACGCGCATCCTAGGGATTAGAAGCACTTAAGCATACCTATGCGCACCGAAGCATCAGAAAACCACAAGTACTAAGGCAAATCAAAATTTGTAAAAAACATTAGATTTTTAAAGAAGCTTAACGTGGTTTACTTACAAAAGAAAGTTACCCCGAACCCTGAAGATTAGACTATAAGTTTTAATTGCTTAGGGTTTACTTACGGTTCCAGATCCACTAAACGTTTGCGGAAATACCACATTGGTGCAGCGTGGCAGTGTACAATGTTGTGGCGCCTCACATCCGCTGTTGCAATTCCATCCTCGACGTGTCTCTGATGCGTTTAGTTTGCCAACTTGATAGGAAATACCTGAAAATGAGCAGAGTGTGGCTTAAAATTAAAGAGAGGCGAGGGGCGTATCTCAGAGCGGCTGTGTTTTAGATGTGGAAATGACGGAACTGATCGGTTCCTCTTTATTTATTTTTGTGAATTATAAGCCTTTTTTTCTTTTTCAGGGATTTTGTGAATTTCATTTTTCATATAAATAGCGCGGTTAAAACGTAACTTGGCCTAGTTCTAGTTAAATACAAAAAAAAAAAAAAACAATAAACGACTCAGTCTACCGTCGAGTTGCACAGGACCAAAAAATGCGCTATTTTAAAAGAACGCTTTTCATTTGTATCATAAAATGTTTGATTGTCGTTATGTGAAGAAAATTCAGGAAGACGAATTTTACGATATATACTTCAGATAGTTTACATTTAAAATACCGCAAATGCTCTTAATCATAAAATGGTAATGAATAAGATGGCGAATTGCATATCTCGCCAGCTCGATATAGACGCGATCTGAGAGATTTGGAGACAAATCAGTTGAGGAAAGTAATATCAAATTAAAGAAAAAAAAATGCACACTTAGATACCATCCTCTTGAGGTTGTCTTTATTTTGGTTTGTTGTTGTCATCAACCTTCAATGTTTCACTCGTGATTAAGTCATTGTCTATTCCGAAGTCCATCCTACTGCCAAACTCAAATTGCTTGGCAATTCTCTTTAGAATTGCCTCAAGTCTCATTTCCACTCCTCTAGCTACTTTTTTGTTTATTTTCAGTTATTCCACTTGAAAGCAAATCTAGATGTCTTGATTCTGGTCACGTTACACGTGCACAAACATTATCAGGTGATCTCGGTTCCTTGCACCAAAAGGGTAAGGGGCAATGACAGTTATCGTTGATTGGATTAAAACAGAACTCTACGAAGTAGGAAATCTGAAGATTGGTACCGCGAAGTACGGGAATCATGGGAATGACTGACTCGGAAAAATAAAAATCAAAAATATAAAACTTGTTTAAGGTTTTCTGTTAAATGCGGGTCGCTGAACTGACAGAAAGCATTACTATTCCTTCAAAAATTTGAAATATATTAAAACGTCCGCATTGCGTCAGAATGTGGGTGTGGAGTCTTAAGGGCAGGTTTTTCAAAGTCCTCACCCCACTGGCAAAATCTTAAGTTTTGAAAACCTAAAACTGCCAAGTCATCTCAGGATATGAAACATGGGATAAATGTTTATCCCCTTTTTTTCGTGTTTCTTCGATCCAAGTGGTAACCAGACTACAGACCTGACTGTTCTATTTGTAGATATTTTGACAGAGTTGCGGCAAACAAATAAATGGACCGAGAGCTTTGAAATAAAGTCATTTTCCTGATAACATTGCTTTTGCATGTAGAGGATTCGCAAATAACGAGATGATAAACACATCGAATCGACTTAACAATTCGTCGGCTCCGAGAGCACTGATTTAGTTACTTAAAAGCGAGATGGAGTGGCGGTTGTGTCCCCCACATTTGTAAACAAATCACTATGATGAATTCAAATGATCTAACCTCCAGACCTTCTTGCTTTTAGTTGAGATCTAAAACTGTTCCCTAGAAAAATGTTAATGAAAAAGTCTTCGACCGAGTTGAATTGGGTTTCAAGAGATTGAAGTTGAGGATTAATTTTTAAAACAATTGTCACTAGAAAAAAGTAACATTTTTGTCAGGTATAAGAACTTACACATGTAGATTGCAACGGCCTAAGATGAAAACAAGAGCTGTGTACCTTCTACAGTTGCAGCGAGAATCCCCAGGTTCAGGAGAAAGGCAAAAACGGTAAATTTCCTGAGGTCCATCTTGCTGCTGAATCTAGAGGTAATGGCCTGTCGACAGGTGGGGGTTTTGTTTTATGCGCTCGCGTTTAACAAATCAAGGATCCAAATATTCTAAATCTTCTTACCAAGTAAAAACAAGCTGATTGGGTAATAAAGGCGCTACATGCAGCATATTACAAAAAAAACATTTTCTTTGGCTTTTAACGGTATCACAACAGGTACGGGCGTGTAATTTAGTATTCTTAGCTTATAGCCAACTTAAAGGATAAATAAACAACAAGAACAACAAAAGCATGATCAGTGACTTTTAATTT